TTTTCTTTCATCGGTAAGTGTTAACAAATTAGTTTAGGTTTAAAATAAAACCAAGATAAGTCACTTTTGACATATCTAGATTATCTAGATGATTATAAATGCTACATATTTTGTTTTGTACTTTTAACTGATAAAAAAATGAGAAAAAATATATAAAAACAAAAAAGCAAATTCATCTTAAATACGAATCAATTTTATATATAGAGATATTAATCTGTCAAATACCTGATTATTTACTTTTTTCTATTGTTTACATTCACATTCCAAGTGCTTAAAAAAACAAGAGATTTCTTTTCGATTCTTATCACATACACTTTATTAAGATTGAGTTGTTATTCAGGCTTGTTGTCGTTCGGACAGTTTGATAAAAAAACGAATGTATTCATATGAAAAGAAGATCAATGTCAATTCTAGTTCGAATATTACCAGAATGTACTCTGTACAGGACGGATACCAAATTTCAGTTTTAAACAGTAAAAGAGTTCTGTATGGTTATTGACCTTATTTACTAGAGTTCAGTTCTTTTTTCTCAACAGCTTCACAGCAACAATTTATTTAGAAGCTTCACAGTTTTTCTCACAACTCGCCGTCCTTGGATTGATTATGTAGCAGAAAAAAAGCACTTTTTAAAAGCTATTTACTACACCTTATTATAGCGTTTATTAGAAGAAAAATCTTTCTCCTTATCGCAACGCTCTTTGATTTTTTTGTGAAGATAGTAAATCGAGGAGTAAGCGTGCCTGTCATGTGTCTAAGCGATCACAAGATAAGCGTCAGATATTCGTCATGTAATATGAATAGAAATTTAAGGGGGGGGATGCTCTCCCCTAAACATACCCTCAAACTTGGCCAGTTTGTAGAGCGCATCTTCAATGATATGCCTATGGAATAAAATAAAATTTGGTCAAGTATTGACAGCGTTATTAATTAATTAAGTTGAAATTCTAATTAAAATTTGAATTGCTAATCCTCCTTTTGGAAAGCTTGCAGTTCGATCAAAAATAATCGTAGAAACATCATTCTTGCGTACTTTGAGAGCCAATGATCTATGGCTATACCCATCATGTTTTTTTTTTGGTTGATCGGCTAATTGATCCGTCACAGCTCATGGGAACTGCAATCAAAACCGCGCTTTCATGGTGCACATTCGCGATTGTGCATCACGAAATTGCAGTTTTCTTTCCAATTGCCATGAGCTGTGACGGATCAATTAGCCGATCAACCAAAAAAACCTTATGGGTAAGTAACTTAGTTTATAAAAAATATTTAAAATTATTTCTTTAAGATTATAATAATAAGTGACGCTAATTAATGCTAATTAGCGTCACTCTGATGTCTTACACTTTTATTTATCAGTTACCAATTTCTTGGAGATCGTGAAGGAATATATCATTTGACAGAGATTTTCAAGCACTACAAAACTCTGTATTTGCTTTTCCAAGAAGTTACTAATTAACAGTTGTTTTAACCCATTTTTAGGTATTTATTATTGGATTTCTATGCTGTTTATTACCGTAAAAGCCACTTTTTAAATAACATTTGACTGACAATAGCTAGAGAGTTGCGATTTTCACAACTCTAGCTTCGTGAGTCAAACGTTATTTAAAAAATAGCTTTTATGGGTATGTTTAGGAGCACAGGTGTATATGAAATGAAACAAAAAGAATATTTTTCTTCAAGACACGTGAATCGATCTAGAGTCAACGCGTAGAAAGAAATGAAGGAAAAAAAAGCATTCTTTATCACAGCTGTATTAAAAAATGAAATATATCTCCTTTTTTTTGTCTCTTTCTATTGAGTCTTTTAGTTATCTATATATTTTTTCATACGATCAATATGCAGTACTACCAACCGCATTCATCATACTATCAGCTGCATATCACTAGCTGTAAACAGAAAAGAAAAATGCTTTAAAAACTAAGAATAGTATTACATTCTTAAGATCATTCGTTGAGCGTGTTGTAGAACCAGATATTCCTTTTGTCTTTCGATTTTTAATCTAGATCAAGAAGAAAGGCGTGAAAAAAGAAAAGCGAATAGGGCAATATACTGTATAAAAGCGTACCTGTGTATCTGCCTGGATGTAAAATACAAACAGTAGAATAATAACAATAAATGTCGACTTTTTATCTTCCATCTGTTGTAACGTCTATCTATGTCTAGAAAAACAAACGCACGGCAAGATTAAATGTTGTTCGGTAACTACAAGTGTTTATTGCTTTATTATGTGTTTTTTTGCTTTAGATCTTGAAAGATATTTACTGTTGTCAATAGAGAAAAAAATTTGTTATTCAGAAGTCCACGTTGTAAAACTAGATACTCTCAAAAATTGAATAGCTATGACCGTTTTGGATCATATAGTAATCGTTTTAAGGTCTTTTCATAGTATGGATATTTAAAGAAGTCACTCATCCTCTCTGTTTCTTTCCAACACAATAGAATTTCTATCGTGAATATGAATTTCAGTATCTAAGAACAGCACTTTGTCTTGAAGTTTGACAAAGAGCAATAAATTCAGAGATTGAAAAAATAAGACTAACCCAATTTGTTTATAATAAATGGCAATAACAGGGTTGCCAACCGCGAGCGACAAACCACTGGTCGTAACACCATTTTATCATTACAATCAACGGTTTCCTTCCTCCTTCTTGTGATTTGTAATTCTGTACAATAAGGTCTCGAGAAGATAGTAACTAAGTGTGTGATGTGAGAAATTGGTTAGATGATTGCAGTTTTGTTTTAATTCTTTCGACCGAATGTTCCACGACAGTAATAACATCATTAGGATCAGAGAGTAGTTTAAACTAATTTGATAATAGAAATTTATCGTAGTCATCAGTATCAGAGAGATATCTTTTGAAGTGAATTATATAATAAGAAGAAAAGTCACTTTTTTCTATGTAATATAAGCATGACCTTGCCGCCTGCTAAGGTCCGTGTGTAGAACAAACGTTTTACGATAAATAGAAGAAAAAAAATTCTCCCAAACGACTAACTGAATATCAATGGAAATAACAGAATATCACGCATTTAACATGCATTCACATGATGGCGATAATAATAATAGTATATTATATTCCTATATGTATATATATATATATGTGTGTGTGTCTAGTAATGACTTGACGATTGATAAAAACAAACGGCTTCTTAATAAGAATATATATAGAGAGAGAAAGCGTTTTTGTTTATCATGTTAAGGATGAACTCTTGACCGATTAGGATCATCATTTATACCGTATACAATTGAACTCCGCCAGTTTTCGGCCATCTCGTTAGCATGCCTCAGTCCACTAGGATGGACATGCGTCGTTGTGTTCACAAGACATTCATTTTGGAGTAGAGTACAGTATTCATTGTGTAAGAAAAACTCGTGCATACATGGTTTCTATACGATACTTATGTTCGTCGTCGCTGTGATTGCAAATTTCTTTGAAAACAAAATACCAGAAGACATAAAGAGCAAATGGCAAGCAAACATCAAGACTACACAAAAATAGTAAGCGCAGTACGCAGTCTTTTGAAAGTACAATAAAAAGAAAGATCAATCGATTTTTGGAGCTGTGACTCTCTTCGTTGTATAAATGAGAGATATTAGCATGTTATAAAAACACGAGTGCTAAGAATTGTGAAACTTTGCAAACAATATTGTCGGAAGGGATATGATTTTTACCTAAATAGTTGAAATAGTTAAAAGAAACAGCTGTTTGAAGCCACAGAAGGATCGAGTTAGAAAATCATATTATATTATACTTTATGCAATAAAGAAAAACAACAAAATGTAAAAATAATTATGTTTTTTAAAGCTTGTAGAGACATCGCAAGATTTCAGGGTGAGATATACTAATAATAAATATCTTGGCTTGCAGCCAGTTAAGTCGCAGGTATACATACATTTGATCTTTTATTTTTGTCTCATTTGTATATATCTTAATACGAACGTAACCTTTTTTTCGTTTTCATTGAATAAGAGAAATGGATTAGCGTCTGGATTATATGCGCACTGGATACATTTTCTTTTTTTTGACGAAAATAGAAATGTGACTGTTTCCTGCAAGGTCGTTTAATCGGTTCACAAGAATGTTAGGAATTGATACTAACACGCCTATAGGGAAGAGAAGTTGTTGAAAAGAAAAATTAGCACGATTGTTACAATAATGGTATATTATTTGTTGAACATCGCAATTCGTTTCCTCTACACATTGAAAGAGAATAATCAAGTAAACAGATGAACTTTCACATTCTTCTTATCCGCTGAATGAATGATGTGCTATAATACATTTTTATTTGTCGGTTTTCCGAGATTCAGTAGTCCACAATCAACTCGATCTAAAAAGCTGAATCGACCGACTATGCACCAGGGCTGAATCAGAGTCGAAATCACCTCCGAAAAAACTAAAAATTACTTTCCACGAAAAGTTTTTTCTTCTTTGCTTCTTACTGATTTAGATCTGAACATCTTTATCAGCAGAAGTTTTGAAAATTGTATTTTTCAGAAACAGCTGAATAAGCTGCTCCGAATTTTCATCTCTGAATTAGAAGATACGTTTTGATGAATCTGATTCAGCCTTGATAAAACTGCTTAAGTAATTTAGCTTTTCAGATCGACCTGACCGTTGACTAGTGTTGTTTGAGTTGAGTAAATGTCCGTCTGTTTCTGAAAGTTAGATGTTGTAGCATTGTATTTCAAACATTTTACGAATTATAAGAATAGAACCGATAATCATTACCTGCTATAGTCTTCTAAAATATGAACTAAATATATAGAATTTTTAATTTTTTTATTCTAGAAAGAATCTAAGAACTCATCAAACAATACATCTCTACTTCTGAAGGGTATCAAGTCAAGCGATACTGATTGCCCTCTCAATATTACAATAACATCAACATCAACAACCAATAATAATAAGCAACTACCGTCACAACAGAAATCATTTTCAATGAAAGTGATGAATGGAAGTGTGTTGAATAATCGTCATCATTCCCTATCACCGACCACCATGCGAACAAGAACTGCGAGTATACCTATTACGAGTTCAAATCAAACTCGTCGTCATAATACGTCAACGTATTCACCTAAAAATTTTTTTAAATACTCACGATCAGTTGATGATCGCATTCATCCCGACGATCAATTGGCATCGTTAAATGACTTTAATAACATTAATTACAATCTTCTATTAAATTCAAATCGTTTTTCATCTGAACCAATTAATTTATCTTGCAGTATGCAAAATTATTCACTTATGAACTCACAATCTTTAAATTCAAAACATTATCCGACAACACCAACAACAACAGCAGATAATAATTCATTTTATTATGCCACAATATCGAGCCCGATTTTTATCAACAGTGATACAAATAACTATGATTTACCAGTTTTTTCTTCACTTCCAAATTGCAACTCGGTGATTAATAATCATTGTTCTTCATTTTCACCGATATCTTCATCATTTTCTTCAGCAGAAGATAATTATATTGATACAAAGGCATGTAATGTTATCTTATCGGATAATGAAAATCATGAACAAGATAAATGTTCGATAATGAACACGAGAAATCTCAATCAAACAGAGTTGGATGATAAAGCAAAAGAGATTTCACTTCTATCGCAAGATCATGGCACGCTACAAGAAGAACAGAATAATAATGAAAGGTAAGTCAAAATGCTAGCTATTCAGTAGTACAGTTTAGTTCAGTTTAATGTGAGGCCATCTGTAATAACTGAAAGGAAAGATAAAACGGAAGTTCTGCTAGTGTTCTCAATCAAAAATGACCTATTATATCTATACGCAAAATCTCACGAGATAATACGATACACTCGAAAAACCAGACCCATGAATTGCTGAACAATAATTATTGTTTAGAATTACACATGTTTTGTACAATAATAACTGTAGAGATAATGGAGTATTAGAGACTTATCACTTCGAGTACGCATCCACAAGATCAAGAGATATTGATGATATAGATGAACTGTTTCATATCGTGAGATATACCCAACAGATTCGGGCTCGTGACGAGTTCAGGAGTAGAATTGCCGATAGTTGAGGCTTTAGTTTAAGAGTTCGACAAAATAAGCTCAAAAGAACTTATCAACGTTCAACAAAACGTTTGTCTTTTAGCAGTTCGTGATTTTATCGATTTTAGTTGGACAATGGCTCGGGTCATCATAGGGCTATTGTGTTTTAGGCTAATCCAGTCCTAGCTATTGCATAAACATGACAGGACTATTTCGAGCTTTTTAAAAAGACGTAACAATTAAGTAAGAATTCAAAATCTATTATTGGCAGGATAACCTTTCTATTGTTCAGCGTAATGAATTCAATCGTACGAATTGGAAAATTGAAGAGGTATTAGTTGATTTTTTCGGACTGATAAATTTTTAGTGAAAGAAATCAATAATGTCCATTTTGAACGATAGCTCTTTAAATAACAGAATAACATTTGTAAATTTATATAGCATCAATAGTTTTGAATTTATTGAATTGATTTATTGTTCGAGCTTTCGCATCTACATTAAAAAAAAAAAAGTCTCCAGCGCACTTTTTTGGGCGATGAATGGGACACTTTGAAAAGCGCCCTACCACGGGCAGTAGACAGTGACTTCAAAAAGTGTCTCATATTGGAGCATTTTTCACAGTGTCCCATTAATCGCCCAAAAAAGTGCCCTGCAGCACTTGCTTTTTACAGTGTACTGATTCATGATCAGAAACTATGTACAACAAAAAATTAAGAAATATTGATAAACTGAAAGTTCTACGCATGTTCAATTATTAGCACTGTATAAATTTACAAATGCCGATACGAAAACTACCATTATTCTTGATTAACAACAAAATATTTATTCAAGCATATTTATTTTTAACCGTTCTTAGAGTATGAATTTTGAACAGTCTTCCATTCCAAAGATAAAGAAAAGAAAAGAGCGTAACATATATGATTGCTCAGATTAACATGAAAAAAAGAGCGAAGAGTATATCATTACGGTACCGGTTACATAATTACATGGTTTGTCTTTTCGAAAGAAACCATTTAGTTTGAAAAACAATTGAAAGCAGACATTTGAGATAAGATTTTCAAAAGCTATTGTGTTTCTTTAGATCAAATTAGTAATTATGAGTAACTGAAGTATCATTGAATAACGGAGTGTAAAAAGAGACCATCTGTGCGTAAAATCTATGCTTTTTATATTATTATTTTTTATTTGGTAACATTTTTCTTTTAGCGCTCTTCAGTCTTCTTGTGAAATTAAACAAATTATTGATGATGAAAAACCAATTGATCAAAATGATAAAGCAATCAAGACATCGACATCTTTGCCAGATGGTGAAAACAACTCTGATTCAATAAAGGATGACAATTTCAATAATCAAACAACATCAATCGAACGATCTCCTTCGTCCGACAATATTCTTGCAAATATATTGTATTCAAAATTAGCAACTAACAAGCCTGATGAGCTCGTAAATAACACCGATGATTCTGCTCTAATTCGTGCAGATTCAACTGGTTCAAATGAAAGTAGTACAACAACATCGTCAACATCTGAAATAAAACTATTAGATGATGATATATTATTGGATAATACGGCGGATTTACTCACGAACGCTGATGACTTGCAAAATCGTTATTTGAAAAGGAGAAGACGTCGTTCATCACTACGTAGTTCATTTAGTCAAGAATCACCATTATTATCTGCGCTTGTATCAGCTGAGACTAGTAGGAAAGATGAAACAAAATCCGAGAAACAAAACAAAGAATCTGAAGAAAGTCCTTCTCTTCTGCCACCAGAGTCATCGACGCCAGTACAGAATGACGAAATAAAAGTTGAAGAAAATCAATCACAAACCACGCAACAGTCAGAAAATCAAAGTCCACTTGAAAATACTGAAAATAATAATATTACGATTAGTGATGTTAACAGCATAAAGGAAGAAGAAGATGAAAAACCAATTATACGTTATCGTCCCAGAAGTAAGTTTACCAGTTATATCGATAATTATCAAATATACCATCACTCACTAGCATTCTACTAACAGCTACTAACCAGCCCCGTCCTAAAACTGAAAAAGCAGAAATATCGTTTAGGGAATTGAATTTCCAAATTCTATTATTTTATGTAGAATACGAGAACCAATTTTCCGACGGGCAATAAGCGAATAATTTCAGAAGCAAGAATTCTATTTGCGACGGCTCTACCACTAGTACTTAGCAAAAACTCAAATAATTCTCATAAACACATAGTATTTTACTTTACGCATGCAATGGCAGATTTAGGAGGATAGCAGTACTGGCGACCACCAGCATCGAAAATTTGGATTCCGTAATGTCTTGCCCATAGAAACTCATAAAATCCCACATGTGACGTTTTCTGGACTGTATTTTATTTTCAATTCCGCCAGCACCGGCAATGTTTTCTAAATCCACCACTGTACACATGTATCTCTCTGTTTGTATCAATCAATAAAAACTGATACAGCAGTTTCTCATTTTTCTTCATTTTCTATATTACTTAGAGCAGAAGTTTGTCCTATGTTCATGGAAAATTCATTGTGTTTCTATGGTATAATTATTTGTATTTTGACTTTAGGGTTACGTCAGCGTCTATTGCGAAACTACGATCTCATTACGAATGCAAATCTTGCAGCTATTGAAACAAATTTAAAGGGTGGAGTCGAATCATCTAATCTTCTATGGACATCAGACCACGACAATCAATTGGCATTACCACATGCGAATACTCACCATCATACAGAAACGAATAATGATCATGACAGCAATATTGACAAAGACGAACATCAACTGAGTAAACAATTATCTGATTTACAAATTAAAGATAATGGCAATACTCAAGAACAACAACAAACAAGGGATAAAAATCATATCAATGACGATGTATTTAGTAATACGCAATCAGCAACACTGCCACGTGGTGGTTTGAAGCGTTCACAAACATCTTCGTCATCGAAAAAAATGGTTCGTTTTGCCGATTCTTTGGGTCTTGATCTTGCTCAAATTAAGTACATTCGATCTACTCTGACATCTGATAGTAAATATTCCCCATCACCATCAACAACATTATCATTATTTAAACGAAATTTAGCTCTTGATGATATTCATAATCAAGGATTGAAACCATGGGATTTTGATTTAACAATATCATCACATTATAATCAGCGTGCTTATTCATCAACGCTTTCACCATCAAATGCTCATCAACAGTTCAACAATCGACGTTATTTTTGTTTATTCCGTCAGCCCAATTCTGAATCACCAGATGTCTATTTACATGAAATATGGCGATCACAGATTAAATTAGAATATGCTGAAATAAGAAAAAAACAAATTAAACAACAACAACAACAGCAATCAGCACTTAAAAATTATAATAGTAGATTAGATTTTCATCATATTCCATCTGATGCGCCACAACAACAATTATGCGGCACATTATGGGTAACAAATATTGATTTCTTGAAATATGTATCGATCAAATATACGTTTAATCGTTGGATGAACACGTATGAAAAAGAAGCTATTCATAAATATCATTCTCAAGACTATCGAAACATAGATAATTATGAATTTACCATTGATATACCAAATGATGTTGATCGTGTCGAGTTTATCTTACGTTATTCATCTGGTGGTCAAGAGCACTATGACAATAACTATGGAAATAATTATATAATTGAAGCTGAACAGACCACGTCCATTGCTATATCACTTCCACACGATTATGATTTTAATGAAATGAGGTTTTATTAAATTTATTTTTGTTATAAAGTTTTGTTTGTATGTTTGTTTGTTTTCTACTCGCTCTACACTCATCCAAAATGTTAGTTTTCTTCTCGTTTTCATGGAGACATATCTAATATGTCATTTTTTTCTCGTTCACTGCGATATTAATTTATACTAAACATTTTTTTCTTTTCGATTGTCGTCGCTTTTTTTCAAAAAAAAGTCTGAATTGCTTCTAGCCAGTAGGTTGACAACAAAGAATTTTTTATGAGTAACAGTGTTGATCTTTTTTTTTAACGCAAGTCTGAATAATAAAAAAACAAAAAAGCTAGAGACGGATGTAATAGAAAGTCTGTAACTATCTTTCATTGTATGAGTAAAAGTCAGCTAGGTAATTTTCAAAATAAAAATTAGAAAGTAAACATCCAAAGAAATAAATTTTCTTTTTAAATTTTTAATACATAAAAGAATAACCACGTCTTTCACTTTGTTTCTTGTTAGTTAATTTTTCTCACGATAGATTTTTTTTTTGTAGACATAGGAAGAACACCCATAAATTTAGTCTTGTATATATTAAATCTCTAAATATGTTAATTAGTTTTTTTCGGGAACAAATATTTTTGAAATTTACGTCTTTGTTCATGTTTTATTTGCTATTGTCATTGAATCCCTGTAATTTACTTTCGTTTCTTACTTTTTTTTGATTAGAGAGCGCATGATGGAGACAAGACTGTTGCTAATGTTGGATGATATTTAATTTGTTAAAATTAGAAAATTTTCTGATATAAAGGAAAATTGTTGCTAGATTTTTTTATTAAACCAGCCGTACTCTAGTGATAAATAAATAAAAAAATGTTTCAATTTAATCGATTTCATCAATGATGCTAATAATATACTCATGGATTCTGTTGCATTGTCAATTCATCCAGAAAACATTGGACCCACTGTATCTATTCAGTCTTGTCTGAATAAAATAAGTCAAAAGTTGTTTCATCATACTTCATTTACTTTTCGAAAATAGCATAGCCTATTTAAAAGGATAACGTGAGTGACAGCGTTTTATGATGTCTAATGCTTACAAATTTATCGACAAATTTCAAAATTTTCTATTGACAATAAGTTTAATTGTAAAGAAATTAGTATATTCAACTATGGGAAATCTACTGTACCAGTTTTGTGTTAATTTTCTCAGCCATTATGAAAAATTCCAACTTATTCAAATAATACCATTGAACAGGGAATAAAAAAAGTGTATCTATTTCAGTAGTACCATAGAGCTCACTACGAGTGAACTGCCGGTCATTATATTAATTTCTGTGAATCCGATCAGATCTACTTTTGTAGCGCTATACCGAGGTACTTATATCTTTCCCACAACTACCGACTAATTGAAACCAACGGCAATATATTTCAACTCTACTATATGTTAGAAATCTGGGAGACTGTCCTGATCCCGGTCTCGCGGGACTTTTTACAAGACCGGGATCAAAAAAATGTTTTTACTGAACCAGGACCGAGACCAGATTTGTTCGAATATAGTCTTGTATGAAGTATGAAAATTTCTTAGTTTCTGTAGCTCTTGGGTCCTAGTTTTGCGAGAAAGAACTCACAAAATTCTAAAAGTTTTCAATTAATAATCTCGTTGCAATAGTGCTAAATTCTAGGTTAGTTTGAATCATTGTCGTGCTAATACACTTTGTTCAAAGTTTAAATGTTTGTGAACACAGCCAAAGTTACAAATCTAGGACCAAAAACGTACTGTACGTTCAGTTTTTTTAATAATAGTAGTCTCACACAGACATATTAAGAGGATCTAAAACATAATGGATCGTTTTTTCCACGGTAAATGTGAGCTGTTATAGATTTCAAATAGAAATGGAACTATATTAAAGGAGAATTGTGACTTACAAATATGAAAGAAAAATGATACACTTTATTGAGCAAAAACAACAATTGTTTGCTGCAATATCTGCTAAAAGGATTAACTATAATGGACGTAGAATAATAATAATCTATGAGGAGTCGAATGGTGAAACAAAATATAAAAAATGAACAGGTTGGATTAATAAAAAAAAATCCTAGGAGTCAATTTCTAATCTTCGTCTTTCTTTTTCTTCTCTTAATCTAAGTCAGATTGAGGCTATTCGTCGTCGCCATCATTATGTATCTTCAGCATCATCATCTGCCTTCGGAACGAATGATGGTTGAACTTCCTTCCATAATTTACCACGATTATTTCTTTCCCAAATATAATTTGTTGCTTTCTCAATACCACGTTCATAGCCAAATACTCCAACACCAATTGTTAATGCTATAACGCCTAAAATGAAATAAAAATGGGAAATAAATGTTTTTCAACATGCGGATATTTTCACAGTACTTTTCATTTTATTTCACTCATAACTTACTTGCACGACGAAAAAATAAATTATAGATGGTCTTTTGAATATTAGACATATTTTATTTTTTGTGAGAATTAACGTCGCACGAAATCTACAAAAATATGAGTTCAATTTTATTTTCAGCAGATTATTTGAATTACATGTGAATACAAACAATTCAGAAAAGAAAACGAAAAAATAAATCTCGTGAAGTGTAATTCATTTCCTTCTAGCTTGAAATTGTTTGAATGAGAAATTACCTTCAGTTTTAAATATACGTATTCTTCAGTGATGTAGGTGCTATGATTCTTCTGCTTGAGACGGCGAAGAGATTGGGAACACAAAACGGCTAAACAAATCAGATATTTGAACACAGATCGTATAAGTGTTTTCTAATTGTGGCTAGTTATTAGTGTCTACAAAACGAAAGTGTTAGTTTAACAAACATTAATGTTAATTCATCGTGTAATTGTCTACTAAAAGCAATAAATATCTAACACAATGTTATCTATAGAAATATCTCAGAAAACTAGCCCAAACAATTAGTCACAATAAAAAGAAGAAAAAGTGTAGAAAACAAATTAGTTATTTAAGGGAAAATAGTAGTGTAGCAATGACTTGTGAGAGAAATTTTCTTTAGAGCTTTTGACATTATTTAATGAAAAATGAGTATTAATAAAGTAAAATAAAAATTCTTCACGAAAATCATAAATAAAACTTGTTTTAACACTAGATCGTATAAAAGAAAAAGAAATAATTTAACACAGTTATATTTGTTACTGTGTTATTAGTCGACAGATATTTGGCTTCTATCTTTCTATACTGGATTACTATATGCAGGACGGAAACAGTTTTATATTATATGGCATGCTTACTATTTTCAAAAATATGTATAGTATTAACATTTTTCACCGCTTCCTCTTTAAAGGCGATGTAAATGAACAAAAAGCATCGAACATAGTCGAGAGTGAAATACCAGTAGATATACTCAAACGAAAAGTTAGTTCATTAGCAACATACTGATAAAATGAAGAAAAAACGTACCATGAAAATAGAAAATACATACAAAATTTATCAGAACAAGAGAAATGAAGTGAAAGCAATCTTAATAAATTTTCAGTAATAAAAAATAGAAAAACTTTATTGCTGATCTTAACCGGAACTATATTGTATTCGTGTAAAAATAATTCATTCATACATCGTACAATGACTATCGATATAACACTAAAATTCCCTGTACTGTCCTAAACTCTGTGATTAGTTAATTTATAATGAGATTGCATTGCAATGGCATCTGTAACATGTAAAGCGAAATAAACATGCTTTTCTTTGTTCAGTCGAATACAGCTTAGATTGACACGAATAGAATAAAAAAATACGTATAAAATATATGTATAAATAACATATGATATTGTATTCAACCATTGGTTCGAGGCCAAGTGTCGAACGCAAATAGTAATCCGATAATAAGGCCAACTCCACATAATATAGATACAATACATAGTATCAGTGCTCGTTTATTTAATTTATGAGATTCAGTGACAAAACCATCGTAAAATTTGTTCTGAGCCTTTCTGGCAAATGCAAATGCAAACAAGCCTAAAACAAACACATACAGAACAAAATTATATAATGAATAAAAGTTGATGTAAATAAGCAGCACGCTTTAAGGCTAAGAAAGATTGTAACTATCTATTCATTTAGATCAATAAATTACTCAACGACTTTTTCACGTGAAACTCATTAATTTCAAAAATTGTGATAGAGAAGTAAATTTTATTGAAAGAAAAATATCACTAGATAGAAATATTAGAGATTACCAGAAAACGTATCTAATTATTGTACAGTAAAATTTTTCTTCCTTGTTCTATTTCGTTAATAATAAGAAAAGCTTTACCTGTAGGAAAAAATAATATAATACATAAAATAGCGAACCATCTCCAATCGCTGGGTCTTCTTGGTTCTTGCGGATTGAATTTTTGTCGACGTGCTACTAATGCGGCTGAAGTTTGAGAAGAACTTTGCCGATTTGATGGTTGTGTTTTTAATGTAGATTGACTAGCATACAAAGGATTTGTCGGACGTACCTGAGGGTATGCTAAGCAAAGCAAAGAAAAACATGACAACATATGTTATGTGAACTCTTATCAATTATCTTTATCATTCAGCATACCACTATATCTTGATTGTCGAGCAATAAAAGAGGCTGCAGATGTGGAATCAACATCATATCCATTTTCTCGATAATTGTTTCCACTAGCATCATCGCCACCACGTAGATCTATGGTAATATCATTGAAAGTATCACCATATGGATTACGCATCTAAAATGAAAAAAAAAATTAATATAAAAAATAAAGGTGAAAAAATGTTTTAAAAAATGTCGATAGCATCTGTCCTTAAATATGCAGCACAAGCAAAGCATTTAATGATTGACATATCTCGTACTACATTACTATTAGAAATACTATGGTACTATATACCATACAAACTAAATTAGTTTTCATATTTCCAATAAAACAGTGGTTAATCAAGGGTTTTACACGAAATGATAAAGGATAATACAATAAGAAGCGCATAAGCGTACAGATAAACCTAACATGGTTGTTGATTATACATAATTCAAATAGAAACGGCAGAGCTGTAATATTCAACGCGGAACCTCCTTTCAGCTCTTTTGCCACTTACACTTGATGCTGATTTAACAAAGAATATGATAAAGAGATTAATACACACTCTTAATATTTGTTAGAGATGTCTTGTATAAGATATTTACGTATGTTATACACGATTAGAAAAACTTTTTAAACGAACTTTACCCAACTTTAATCTAAAAAGGCTTCTAGACCACTGAATTTGTTTTTTAAATTTATTAATACGTTTTGATGTATAATTCACAAGAGAAACATATAAAACTTCACATTTTCGGGTACAAAACAGGTGATAGTTCAATGACAACACCACAAGAGATATATTTATTCATACCAGTATGACTAACTAGTATGCTTTCTGTTCATTAACGTATAAAGTCTTTCTGAATAGTATATTCTGTAATCTTACCCTACAACTTTATACCCTAGTCATAGAAAAATTAGAATTAATCTGCACTCCTCTAATGTTGCGAAGTAATAACGAGTTTGTCTTTCTTTAGATTTTTTCGTTTTAATGAGAAGATCATTTCACCAAATATAACGTTTACTATAAGATTCGTTCTACTCATTGATTCAAATATCAATGACTAAAAGCCCTAATTACTAATTATATAATATTGTCTTTACCAAAATAGAACACAATTCTATTTTCATAAGAAAAAGATCTATATTTGCACTAATATATTATTTTCTATTCTAGTGAAAATGGATAATTTAGATTTTTTTTCTTTGGTTTGTGCGTGTAGAGTGATTAAATACAAAAAAAAGCACAAAAAGGTAAGAAAAATAATATAGTGAAGAAAATTTGAATGGACATACAAAATAAATTTCATCACAGCCCCCGTCACTTTATTTTAGAAAAAACTTGTTATAGATTTTTTCTACTTTTTTTTTTCACTTATGACATATATCAAAAAAGTATTTGTCATTTTTACATGTGAGAAGCGATAGTTATAAAAAAAATATAGTATAAACACATATCGACACTAAATGTGTTTCAATGTCACCGGGTTTCTTTTTCATCGATAAAAAAGATCAGTTCTCCTCTGTGTTTATTAAAAAACGGCAGCAGTTAGTCAATAAAGAAAGAAAAAAAGTATAAAGGACAGAAAGTTATGTAAAAATGACTCCAACGCGAGATGAAAATAAAAAACATTCTTTTAAGAAATTTGAAGATCATCACAAAAAGCGTCACATATGCCAAACGTAGAAGGACAAAGAATGATAGATCTATAATTAACAATTTCTTCTTTTTACTCTTTGGTAAAGTTACTCTTCGACAAATATACATTATTCATTTTTCATATAGATTTTTTATTTGGAAGGAAAAAGTTGAAGGAATTAATTTTAAAGTATTAATAAAGCCGTTGAGTTTAGATATGAGTAGAATATTTCAGACTTAATACATTGAAAAGTGTTCTAAATCCATACAATGTATAGAAAAATAGTGAGATGAAACTGCAGGTGATGATAAAGAAAGATTTTCTAATTACAAGAGTCTTTCGTTCAAAGCTCTGCATATTCAAACAATCTTTTTATGTAAGTTCTTTACACAAATAAATACGTTCTGTACATTACCATATAATGTAGCGAGGAGCCTAAAGCATCTATTAGTCAAGACTTCTGACTTGACAATAATTACTATTGTTCTTTTCAAATTACGGTACCCGTGCCCATTTTTCGAATAGCTCAAGAACGAAGAGATAGATTTTTTTCGGATTTTTTTCTGATTTTCACCATATGAAAGAGGAGACTTGGAGGTATGTTTCCACGGTCATATGTAAAAATTTTTCAATAGGATTGTATTGATTTCTTTTCATGAGCTAATAGTCAGCCAAATTGTACTTTTTTTGTAGTAAAAAAATTCTCCATTTCCAGTTTACAACGTAAAATTTTTTTCTATTAAATTCAACAATGTTATAAATGAAAGCGAAACGGATTCTAACTCTAGACCCTTTCGAGTATCCAACAGCGAACGAATTTCGTTTCTTGGACTTAAACAACCAGAGGAATAAAAACAGTCCCTTATCTAATTAGTTTTTGTACAATTGTGATCAATATAATGATCATAATGATCAGCGTCTTATTCCGCCCAAATTCAAACTAGGTCAAACTTTGTATGTAAGTTCTTCTATTTGTACTACACTTATACCGATAATTATTAAAATAGATTATTTCTAGCAGTCAAATTTTTTGACAAAAAATTTGGGCTTTAGGGGGCCGTATCACAAAAAAACTTACCTCTTCGTTATGTGCACTTACGTGCTAAGTTTATACACTTAAGTGTGACTTAAGTTTTTTCGTGATACGGCCCTCCGGATTTTTTGTCCAAAACACGTTTTTTTTTACAATAATCTTATTTTGCTGAATAATATCTCCTAAATGATAGAAAGTGGATTTTATCCAAAAAAGTCCCATTTTTGACCAAAAAAGCTTCATGTAAACGAAATATGCTCACTGTGCTGTGATCTTTGATAGTCTACCTCGAAAAAAATGCATATGAATCAACAGAAAATATAGTACTGAGGTCGTACTGGCTAGGAAAGTAATCAGCTACAGTGAAGGTTTGAGCGATCACGAACATTTCAAATAAGTAAAAGTTCCCGGAGTATATCTCCATCTTTAAGTAGAAGAAGCAAAAATTGATGTCTGTCATTAAAATAATCATCAATCTTCGCGACGACAGAAATTTTTTTCAACACTACCTAGTGAATATTGACCTCAATACTGTATCTCTAGTATATTATATGCAATTATGCAATGCCATTTTTATTAATAGAAATTTGAACGTCCACAGATAATAACTAAACGAATAAAATAGTAAATACTCAAGAAGACAATAGATGGTCTAATCTAGTTTCACATAGCTTTTACTTCATTTAAAGCATTATCAAATCTTTACTAACTTCGTTCGGTTTTGTTGTTCATTGTTCAATACATTAAACTGCTTTGTACCGTAACAATCCATCATTTTAATTACATAAATAAAGTTATAAAACTTTGCAATTCATTTGGTATGAAAACTTTTGCTTGAGAAACTAGGTGTGTAACAATACAGTGAGTATCTGTTAAATATAAATTCACTATGAGTAGTTTTTGCGGCATTAAACTAATTAATATCTAAAAAAGATTTAAGAAACACAGGTGATCAGAATTTCTATACTTCCTGTCATTCTTACGTATAATCGAGAAGGCTTCGTTTTATACAACCTAGTCGAAACGACAATGACAACATTGAAAATGAATATGACTAATAGAAACTATTCTACAAAGGGGTAACAACCAGTGTAATACAATCTTTAGATCATTTAGGGCAGTGCTTTGTAAGGATGTTATCTGCTGCAATTGAGGAAAACTAGTAACGCTTCTTTTTCTATCCTACAAATTCTTAATTAACGTACGTTATGACTGTTTGGGCCAGAGCTCCGGTCTAGCCTATCCTTACTGATAAGTTTAGCTTCGAACCGCCGTCATTCCTGCTCTAAGCTAAATAGCCTTCAATGCATGTTTTGGCTACGCGTCAATTTTTTCCGCCAAAGACAGTCCTCCATTAAACTTTAAAAAGGAACAGAAAGGTTAAGGATTTACCAATACGTCAAAAATTCAGAGAATAACATCTTTTAGATGCAGCAGCTGAAAACTTGTTCTCTCTCGAATTTCCGCTAAAAATGTATCATTTATGAAACAGTTTAATGAAATTAATCAGAAAATATCTTATTCCTTAAAAAATATCAAAATCAGCTTAATATTTCACTTTCATGTTGTCATAGTACCATTTTGAAGGCGTTACAAACAGACTAGCCTTTTCAAAATATTTCTCTCGTTGTTAATTCACTGCTAAATGGCACAGTTACATTCAGCTTAGCAAAAAACACAAGCGTATTGTTAATTACAACAATATGATTGGACATAAATCGCCATATTAATTGTCCAAGATACTTTAACTCTAACTAAATGTTAAAAGCTCATGTCACTAGAGTCACCTGTTTCTTTCTCGATTGTCAAGAGAACCCATGAAAAACCATCTAATCCAGTAGAGTATAGTTACTGATGTGTCATCAAAGATTAATTATTTTAAAGTGAAGGTAAGCGATTGAGTCAATCCAACACTATATTATGATTTATCATTTTATCTTGTAATTTTGTTTTGGTTTCTTTCTTTCATTCGACATTTTTCGTTTGGCAAAAAATTAATAAACAATAAAAAGATGACTATGATGTAAATTTTCAAGTTCAGGTCCTACGATATTCCTGGCATTACTGACCTGTACTGTCTGCTGACGGATAGTGACATCTTTATTCAATAATTTTATTATTTCTGTATTTCTCCGACAAATTCAGGCAAATAAAAAGTAAATTACTGTCTGGCTCTCATCCTGGTAGTTTGCTATAATTCCAAGAAAATTATACATGAATTTTTCCGAAGTATGACCGAGGATAATGGCGAATATTTTTGTGACTATGGAACCTTATATACGTTCCATGCAGAGATGCCAGATGCTTAGGTCAGAAAAGCGAAATAAAAAAGGCGAAAAAGCGGAAAAAAGTGGAATTTTTTTTCCAAAATGCGGAATAAAAGCGGAAACGCATTTTTCACCAAACGAAGGTATATCAAAAAAATTATCGAGCGCTTTATGGCGGTTCCATCTAAGAAACGCAAAAGAAGTATAAAACATCATTTAAATTCCAATTTGAATTGCTATTGGATTTTTGTGGATCCACGTTTTTGATCAGCCGTCATAAATTTCAACATTTATGTATGGCAGGATAATAGTTAATTCGAAACTTTCCCGGCTACAACAGCACTTAATGGTTACGATTTTCTGACCGAGTTGCCTTCCTCGAAGATTTAGTATTTCACTATTTTTCACACTCCGTTTCAGCAGCACTTGAGACAAGCTAATGTTTTTGTGTTACCGCTCACTTTCGGGACAAATTTCTGATTTAGTTCCTAAAACAGTGCGCATCTGTTTTATAAAAGCTGCAAAAGAATTGTTCTAAAAGATCATTCAGCCGCTGAAGGCGCCAAGCTTTTTATGAGAAAATGCAAAAATCTTCAAAGGACAAGAACAAAAAATCCTCGAAAAGCGGACACTGCGGAAAAAACTACAGAAAGCGGAATTTGTCCGCAAAATGCGGACCATCTGGCAACTCTGATTCCATATCTTGAGTACAGATTCTTCCTCAGCTAACGTGTATCTTCCTCTTTCTCTCAGTTCACAGTCAGCAATTAGGAAAAACACCAGGTATTGTTGATCTGTGAGTGCCTATCAGTTTCAAAACAGCACTTTTCAATTTTTCTTTACAAAACGTCAAGCAGATTCAAGTACTTTTTTTGTGCTTCATTTTGTTTACCTTCTGTGAATTTTTGTTTTGTAACATTTTGTGCAGTAAAACTCATGTTACAGATCGAAGAACTATAATGATCTCACTTGTTAGTGAATCCATTCAGCAAAGCTGAAATTTCTCAACACTCATACTTGGAATGAGAGCAAAAAGGTAGTAGGGAAACAAATTCAGAACACCTAATGTTCCTGATGAATCTTTTTTTTAATAAGTAAAAGCTTCTTACTCTGACATGACTGAAAAGTGTCGCGGCTTTTCGTGAAACTATACCTTTAAGCAATTCTTTTACGTCGCATTAGATGGTGGATAAGCTGAGATCGCTGATATGAAACTGCCTTTTCGTGGTATGTGTCTGTTGACAACTATTTAAGACGCATGTCAAACTGTAAGAAGTTACCTCCTCGTCATAATCAAGAGAACATATTGTAATTTATCGCTACATTTTTATGAAGGCATAAAAAACGTTTTTCGGCATTGTGCATTCTTCTTTTTTAGATGGTGACTTTAGACGATCGTATTCTTGGTGAAAAATTACAAAATTATTGCAGCAGTTCATCCGAAGACGAAGGTAATGCTGCAAAATACTAGATAGTATGTTTGTTTATAAAAAATATTCACATTTTGATTATATAGATGATTCTCCATCAAAATCAGACGATGAAAAACAAACAAACTGTCGTGGTTCAAAATTTATACCAGACGCTGAATTAGAAAGTTATCGTAGCCAAAGTAATTTCACAGAAAATGTAAGTAGAAGTTATTCTACTTTCTAAATCATTATGTTCTTACTGTTAATTTATCGTTTCACTTGTAGACAGGTCCAAAAGGTGTTATCAAAGGTATGTATGAAGTTTTCGTTTATATGATGAGTTACTTTGTTTGTTTCTTCTTCAAGACTGGCAACGTTTCAAACAACTAGAAACAGAAAATCGAAATAATCAAGAGAAAGAGAAGGCTGAACTAATAAAAAAATTATCTCTATCTTGTCGATCACACGTAAGGTTATTTTAAAGAACGATTTCTTTATTTGCAACTGTTTATATTGCCAACTTGAAATTATAGCTTGATGAAGAACGTGATCAAGAGAGACAAAAAAATGAAGCAGCTAAAGATGATTTAGATGATGAATTTTTTGACGCAGAAGACGAGTTTCTTAAAGAATATCGTGCAAAACTCATGAATGAAATACAACATCGAATAAGTAATGCGTAAGTGCGCAAGAAAATTAAATCATCCAATGTACTATTGTTGATGTATGCTAATTTAGTTGTATTTATTATTGAACATAATATATTTTAGACCCCGCTTTGGTAAAGTAATTCAACTAACAAGGGATGAATATACGCATGCTATCGATAAGGAAAATAAAAATGTTACGGTAGTTGTTCACATTTACGAAGAGGTAAGAGAATTTATGCTGTTAAATATAAAATTTGAAACAATAGTTTGACTTATCTGGAAAGCTAAATTTATCCTTATCATCATTTTATACTCTTCAAAACTGAGTGAAAGAAAATCTAACATAATAATCACAATTCATTTGGTTCTTAAGATGTTTTAATTAATTGAATTTATAAACTAATTATCCTTGTGTTTTAGTCAAAACCTGCTTGTAAAACGATGAATACTTGCTTTCATGTATTAGCTGAGCAATATTCATTGGTCAAATTCTGTCGTATCCAAGCATCAGATGCCGAATTAAGCCGAAAATTTGTAAGTGATTTACTGTTACTATTCAACATTGTATATTTTCTTCTTCTTGTTGTAGATTGCAACTGGTTGTCCAGCAATTCTTGTTTATCGTGAGGGGAAAATTCTTGGAAATTTTGTGTCATTAACAAATGAATTTGGTGATGAGTTTTATCCAAGTGATATAGAAAATCTTCTGTTAGAGTAAGATGTGATTTTTTTTTGAATATCGTTCAACGATAACTACTTCATAAGCAGAGAAAAATTAAAGACAAAATTTTATTTGTTTTAGAAATAATTTATTACCATCATTGGAATGTTCATCTTCAATAAGACAATGTGATGCTGACAAATCCGATTCAAAGAGTGATGATGATTAGATTATGACGAAAATATTTTCAAACTTTTTTTTCTCAGGATAATACTCTGTCCATCTGCTCTTTGTGAATTATGAAATTGCAATTAATTTCATATTTCAAATAATCATCGAGCTACATCTCTATTTTGTTTGTAAAGTCTTGACGTTCTGTTTTTATAATAAATGGTCCAAATCTAGTCAAACTTAATGTATTTATTCACTTTTTCTTATTATTCATTGGTTTTTTTTTTCTGTAGTTATCATGATCTGTTTGCTGTTTTTTATTTAAATTTTTCGATCGTTCTCACCTTATCTTATTTTCAACTTTTGAAATTGCCTAAAGTTAATGACCGAAAAAAGTTTATCGTTTTAGATGTCCGAGTTGAATATATCTGTGAAGCTATAATCTGTTTTTTTTTCGTCTAAACTTTTGGTAGTTGTCATGACATTTGAACATTTTATTGTAAATTAATTTTTCTTGCTTGTGAATTTAAATAAAACATCATAAAGTATCCAAGCATTAAAAAAAAGTTAATATTGCACAAATCATTTAGATTTCTTAATTTTTTACTCGATTGAAATTATATGGCAACGACACTAGAATAATCGAGCGATTGCTAGATTTCTTTTCAGTTGCAACTAGCGATTTATCATCGAATTATTGAGCGATTTAACTATTGTTAGTTGCACATATAAACGCATCTAATTAAAAGTCCCGTTGTCAACTAGTAATCTAGATGACAACTAGTCGTCCATCGCTCGATCACAGACGAAATGTATATAGATTTTTTCTATAGGTGATCTTTGCTTGGGTATTAACTATATCGCTATTTTGTCGAATAAAAAGTATTTATTAGTATACATATTTAATAGACAACTTTGAACACCAACATTGAACGTAGATCATGTACATAAACCCTATACAAATTTTATGCGAAAATACGTAATTCAGAATTGTTTTGATAGTCCTTATACGACTATATAGAAATGCTCTTGTTTATCACCAATAAGCATGTAATCGATTAACGACAATTTCAAGAAACTTAGAATGAGAAGCATACAGTTTTAGATGACGATCAACGGGAGTCCACATAGCTTTTGTTGCATCATCTCCTAAAATAAAGAAAGATAATCTCAAAAAATTTCGTAACAGTATGAATAACAATGAAAAATGTTTTTGCTTTGGTGCGTAACGCACGAAACTATATTTACATTCATACCCGCTGACAGCTTCAAATCTCTAGTTAATTCTCCAGTTTCATCATGAAAGTGCCAAGCGGTCGACTCCATCCACGCATTGTCAGTATTTCTTGGATCATCTACATAACCTTTTGAAACCTGAAAAATTTAGAAAAACTTACAGAAAAAATCTTCGCTTTAACCGGTATAACTTATCTGTCTTCCTTTCTCAAATAACTTTTCAATACAATTAGCAGAACTTTTTGATATATCCTTTATTTCTAATGAATTCATTGCTTCTTCCTTGAATTCTCTTATTAGAGTACTGAATGCTTTCTCTCCTGGATCAACCATTCCCTAAAAAAATTATTTTGTCTACAGTTGATCAACAGACAATAAGTTTTAAACTCACACCAGGCAGAGCAAGCTCTTGGTTATCCCTTCTCTGAATTGTGACAACTTCTAACACTTTTTTAAACCATCCACTTTCATCTTGACGCCATATAATATTTTTCTGTGCATCGCGACACCATCTAAAACACAAAAAGATCTTTTTCTATCTTTTATAGGCGTTTTCAGATCGACCCAAAGCTGATACCTTGTTACAATTGGATCACCAGCATGATTTGGTCCCCAGAAATAGAGCCTGCCTCTTCCAGTTACTAGAAAAAATATATATGAGTTTTGAAAATGCTTTTGTAAAAATAAATGTTTGTTGATTTTACTCACGACCCGTTCGACCCATCGGATTTCTCGGGCGGTTTCTGTCATCAAATTGATAAGTTCCAGTGGAACTTGTTCGATCTATTCTTTCTCCCACAGAATTAAAATTGTCAATTTGGGTCGCGTCGGATGGATCTGCTTTTTTATTCTGCAATATTTTCTCGGTAGTATATTCAGTTGGAGCATAGTCAACCCATGCAGTATTCCAGTCAACTTTGTCATTCGGCACAGTCGTTCTCTGATGGAAATAAATTATTTTTAAGAATGAAATAAGAGAAGCTTTTTTGAGCATTAAGTCATTTTTTAAAATATTATTACGTTTGAGCTCACAGCGGCTCTCATCCATTACACACAGAATCAGGCTGCATAAGACTTGATCGAATCGGCCCATCAATTTTTATTGCTCCAATCTGTCCAAAAATCATCAAAATCATCTTTTTCCATGGTTTTGACTCGTCTGAGCGCGCTTCCAGTTAAGTACAGCACCATTAGTATGACTGCAAAATCCTAAACTTAACGGGAAAAAAATAGGAAACTTAACGGACCCTGACGGCGGTCTTTGTGAATATGATACTAGACTTTTGTATAGATCGCGGCTATGCCACTATGCATAGGTAATCGACTGAATATTGTCGGAATGTTCATTTTGAAATCAAATTCAAAAATGTGCTGAAAACCGAGTTTTTAAACTCGGATTTTCAGGCTGTTTTCGCCTAATATTAAAAAATTCACTATTCACTCAAAAAACGTCCGAATGAGAACTTCAGGATATGATATACCATTGAAAAATCGCAAAAGTATGGGTTTGTTCACTGACTTTCTAAAAATCGTTTTTAAAACGATAGAATTTTGTAATTTTTTCCTGTAACTTTCTTATAAATATCGTATAGAACTCCCTGAATACTGTACATCTTGAAGTTCTTAACTCGTTCTGACGTTTTTTGAGTGAATAGTGAGTTTGATAGTAAAGATGATCTTGATGAGTTTTGAATACATTGGAACAATAAAAGTTGGTGGGCCGATTCGATCAAGTCTTATGCGGACGTGTCCTTTTCATACGGAAACTAGGCTTCAAAAAACGGATTGTATAATCAGTCATAAAAGAGCAAAACTGAATATTTTACTCTTGCTGTTTCGTCGTAAATTTTCGTCCTGGCGTTGTGGTGTATATCTTTCTCCGTTTTGTTATTTATTGTCTTTGAACGTTTAGCTCTCGTGCTTTTCGTAGATGAAGCACTTAATCTCTGAAGAATACGAAAAGAAAAAGTTAGTTATTGATGGTGCTAAATTAAGTAAAACTACACACTCACATTATCGGGTGTTCGGTACGTTGAATATTGATCAACATTGTTTTTGTATAATGTATTATACGAGTAGGAAGCTCGAGTAGTAGCCATAAAAACTAGTTTCTAGCAGAAATAGTTTTCCACACGTAAGTACATAATCCACAATTAAGTAGTTTACGTTAAAAAATATCCTTCATATGATTCACATACAAAATATCAAGACGTTTTCTTAAAGTGTTTAAATATTTCAGTTTCCATTTAAAAGTTAGACATAAGCGCTATTATGTCCACACACGTATCCTATCGACTCATCGTTTTTTGTTTTCTTATAAATCTAATTGGATATAATGAAAGTGTCACTCTACTACAACATGCTCTAAGGAGATGTATAATTCTAACAAAGTTTAAATATCCTATTTAGAAAATCTAATTATATCACAGTTTTTGCAGAAAAATTGAGAAATTTTGTTCATTCGGACATAATAGCGTTTGGCTAAACGCTAAAGAAGATACAAATATAAATCGGTAATTCCAGCTAAATATTTTACGTAAAAAATAGCAAAACAGCTGATCCGAGACATACGTAGGAGATATTTGACGTCAACGTCTTTTACTCGAGAGACTACTGTATTGCGCGTCTTCACAACGTTAAAATCAATGATCCGTAATAGTTAGACAACATATTGAAACGTAGTGTGTGTACACCTTATATAGCGTTAAAAAGACAGATCGCATGTTCATTGTTGATATCCAGATTATCAAAATTAATAATATTCTTTATTATCTTTTCACTCTTTGTTTTTTGATGAATTTTCTACAAGGAGATAAAGAATGTTCTACCGTAGCTAACTGTGAAAAAAACATACTTCACTTCTCTAATAGTTAACATTCCGATATCGGAAATAGTTCTGAATATTTTTCTATGACCCATTTTAGTTATTGATAACAGATCGATTTCCATGAAAAATTTAACTTTGGTATTGAAGTAGATTAACACTTAGAGCAAAATACGAAACTACTAATAGTCAATTAGTTTTACACAACGATCATTTGAAAATTGTAGAGGAAAAACTGAAAATTCTAATACTGTTCAGCTATTGTAGAGATGTTTTTGACACCTTTATTTTTCGACGAAAGTTCAAACTAAGTTATTTTACTTAGAATGAAATAGCATTAGATTTATGTTCACTGTGTTACAAATTTCTTATTGAAACCATTAGAAATAGGACATAATAGCCAACGTAACATAAACCAACGCAACATTGTATGAAAATAAAAGTTTAATTAGATTCACTGTCATCTTCCTCTACTTTTTCTCCTACGTTTTCTCAAATTTTTCTTTTTTTCTTTTTAACTATGCAAATAGAATATAATTTCTTATTAAACAATATTAATAGCATCTAAAGTGTTTCAGTGTAAACGCAATATATTTGATACATAGCATAATATTTCTAACGTTGAAGAGTTATCGATAACCATTAAGGACGTTGACAAACATAGTGTTGTCCTACTTTCTTTACTCGTTTTTCTAAATAGTTCTACGACAATCTAGAACAATAGTCAAATATCTCAATTCAAGGCAACTACCTGTACCGTAGTATTTGGATTAGCTTGTATTTGACCAAATGAATTAAATAAATGTATTTTTATTTTAATCAAGCGAGAAAAAGGTGATAGAAAAGAATATGTTTTTCTTTCCCAACGAGGCGAATGGAAGAGCCACACTCCTTTCTTCCCTTTTAACATACTTGTTTATCCTTCTTCATGTTAACAATGAAGAAATAGGGAAAATTTGAACAATCAGAAAATTTTATTCTTTTCTATCTTGTCAAACTTAACAACAAAGCTATTGTCTTTAGCAGAGTTTTATAAAGAAAATAAACTGTAACAAAATTTCTCTCTAGTAAGCGTGAAATTTTACTTTACCACTGTAAACTTTTTATTAAGCATGTATCCAATATATATGAAACTTTTGACCATTTTGTGGATCATGTGTAATAGAAGTTTCTTTTCGGTGATACTAGCTCTCTATATATTACTGTTATGGAAATAGTTATAAGGAGAAAAGTTTCATTTCTGTCAACGTGCATTTCTGTATTATTTTTAATATACAGTGGTGGCAAAAATTTTTCGTACAGTTGATAAAAATCTTTTTTTACGCTGTATACGTACTGACAAACTATGAACACTACATCAATCGATAGAAGAGAGCGCCAGCTACATTTTTGTAAAAAATAATTTTAAAAAGATTTTTCCTTGGAGTAAAAAAGCGACTTTAAGCCAAAATTACCATACTCTTCAATTTGCCTGCTCAATCTCGGGAATGAGGAAGTGAAAAATAACTCTGATTAAGCTATTCGAAACAGGGTCAACCATGTCAATTTTTCGATTAAAAGATAGATCAAATTCTTCCATGTAACTTCAAGACTATATATATCTTACTTAGTTTTTGATGCTGTTTCGAACAGCTTAATCAGAGTTTTTTTCACCCACTCATTCCTGAGATTGAACAGTTAATCTGAAGGGTATGGCAATTTAAGCTTAAAATCACGTTTTCACCTAAAGAAAAAAACTTCAAAATTATTTTTTTTATCAAACTGTAGCTTGCGCTCTCTTCTATCGATTAATGTAGTTTTCATATTTTGTCGGTACTTATACAGCGTAAAAAAACATTTTTATCAATTTTACAGAAAATTTTTATCGACCTGAAGAGTTCACTTTTCAGTCTAATGGACCTACAAAGAGCAACAATGAATATTTCTAAATTTTTTTATCTACAAATATACTAGAGAGGGTGGAGAATATTTTGGTGGAAATCGTTTGTCAAAATCTTTTTTCGTTACCGAGTTATGATCGAAAGAAAAGCGATTGGAGTGTACGGAAAATCTTTGCCGCCACTGTATATAACAAATTATAACTTTAAATACTAACTAATAGTAAAACTTCACCTAGCATAAATAGTAATGTATAATGAAACAACAAAATCAAATGATATAACAATAATCATGATCTCAAACTCAATATGTGTAGAAAGGTATACAACGAAAAACAAAAAGATAAATTGAAATATCACAATATAATCTAGGAAAGCGATCAATAAAAGAATCTAATAGAAAATCAATAAGGAGTACATGTCTTTAATACATGAGAAATATCAGTGAAATGCGAGTGCTATTGCTAACGATGTCGTTGTTTTTCTTAATTAGCTGTAATGTGCACGTGCGACATAAATATTGTATATCATCCGACGAAAATGTGTTTGTGATACATTGTGCCTCTGCTTACTAATGGATCTAACTTCTGTACAAAATCATTGGTAACTTCTCAAACACTACCTTTATAAAACAGTTGTTTGTAACAGGTACATATGTATTCCGAGCCAATACTGATTATTCCATGAAATTGTTGGATTAATACTTCTTGCTCATCGACAGTTTCGGATTTCTTTGATCTTTTATATATATATTACTGACACGGAAGATAAACTTCTACAAAATGAGATTTTTCAAGTTTTTCTACCATGGTAATCATTTATCACAGAATTAATTTCATATGGTAAAAGAGAATTTATCATTGATGATAGTGCAACAATGATAAATTCTCCTCTGTAAGGTCGGCTTGTGGCTAGAGACCTATACAGGCAAGGTTTTATTGCCCGTACTCGTCTATGCCAGTAGACTTTTCGTGCTGTTTGTTCTTTGGTTTTTCCGCAGCCCATGCCTATCTGTAGTTGTAAGACAAAAGGTTATTGTTTTCCTCTTTGAATTACGACTAACTTAAGTCTGCTCTTAAGTCGATGGCTTAAAAATGTTTGTGATACAGGTCCTGCTCTTCATATATGTTACTTCACTTACAAAAGCGTCTGTAGCTTTTTTCGTGTAAGGCCCCCGCCACGGTGGACAGCCAAACGACAAAGTTGAGTTTCAGGATTTTGACTAAAATGATATGTAGTGTTAAAGGTTACATGATTCTACCCTTAACCGATTTGTTCGTTTTGTATCAAAACCAACCTTTCTTATACACCAATAAAAACAAAATGAGGGTCACTAATAGCATCACATAAACAAAAAATAAAAATTGAAATTTAGGACGTAGTCGTAACTATCAGTTGTTACATAATTAAAAAGCGTTCGATGTCTGTTATATCCCATGTACTAAAAATCGCCAATTAATCGTGAAAAATCACTCGATTAATCGTGCGCTTAATCGCGAGTTTTTTCTAGGTATCAGGTTCGAACCCATCTTAGGAAATACAAATTTTTTTGTTTTTTCATTGTTTATATGTATAATGACATAAATGTCATCCAGCAACGGTCTTAGGGCAGAGCCTTTCCGATGAGTCGATTTCAGACATTGCCCAGGCACCAGCTGTTCACTAGGCACCTCGCCTTAAAGCGCTGAGGAATCGTAGAGAAGACTCTTGATAACTCCGTTTTACTTTAAAATAAAAAGATGAATAGAAGTGTATTTCTCGTTGAAATCGTGTTTCTTATATAGATACTTTACTGCAAAATAAAACGGTGAATAACAAGAACCATTTAATCGCTTAAAAGCAACAATTAATCGCAATTAATTGACCGTTTTTTAAAAAAAGAAAAATCATTGGAATATAATATTCTTATAATTCGCAGTATAAGAATCTTATAAGAATTGAATAAGACTTCGGTAAGATTTTAATTTTATAATTTCCTTATAAGATTCTTATAATCTTATAGTGCCTTATAAAAAATGTTCAGAAATTTCACAGTTCAAAACTTTGCCCTCGTCCTACAGGCAACAAAAAAACGTTTTTTTTTTTTTTTGTTTTTAACTATAAGAATCATATAAATTTTTATAGGAATCTTATAAGTTTCTTACATAAGAATCTTATAAGCACAGTATGCACTTCTATCGACTGTAGCATAAGATTCTTATCTGATTTTATAAGATTCCTGCAGGAATCCTATATAAGATTTGATCTCTAGGGCAAAGCTCTTAGGAGTAGTTCCTTGACCTTCTTTATAATTTAGCATGATAAAATTTTTCAATGACTGTGGTAAAGAATTAGGATTTGAGACATTTCGAATGATATTTCCTCGAAAGGGATAATCTCGAAAATAATTTCCTCGAAT